TTTTTCATATGTTTAAGTGAACAGAACGTGGAACACTCTAATTGAGATGAATTACAGTTTTCTGACTTTCTCTACAGGAGCAGAAAGCCGCATCTTTCTCCCATTGAGCAGCTGGTGGATTCAAACTGCAGACCTTGTTACCAGGGATCCTAAAAGATATAGCAGGGGAGAGAATGACAAAGAAAGTACAAAGCTTCCTCTGTTTATCTGGTTTAAGGCTTTCGTGAGGGTGAATGGTTTAGAAACATCAATAAGAAGCTAGGAAGATCCAGAAGGTATGGAAGAAGGTAGTATCCAATCTGTCTAGGAGGGACTGATGAAAGGAGATGGGGATAGGTACCTTGTGGTACAACAGTGAATAATTGTTATCAGGACTGACTGTGAGGGTTGGAAATGTAAAGGTGGATGTTTTGTAGCAAAAGGAGGGGAGTGATTGACTTTGCAGTCCAGGAGCAGCAGTCCCTGGAACCATCAAAGGAGAAGAGCAGAGTGCAGGACCCTACCCAAAGAAGCAGTGACGCCAGAGATGGAAGCAGAGACAACGTGGAGAGATGGAGCAGATGGGGACTCCAGACCCAGAGAGGGAGAGGAGCTTTGTGCTGATGACCGGGGCGCAGGCTTGCAGGGTATACCCTTTGGTTGGTTGATGGAGGGGATTGTAACCACGCCAATGAAACGATATATATGATAGGATGACTGTAAAGCTAATGTTCTTCCATGGAAACCATCACATAATTCACAGTAAAACATAAATAAATAAATAAACAAACAAACAACAAACAAACAAATAAATAAATAAGAAGCTAGGAAGACCACTACCTCATCTCCAAATTCAAGAACACACAGCTGCCCTTTGAGAGGGCTGCAGGGGAAGCAGTGCCTTCAGGGCAGAGTCAAATTTTCTCAACCTCAACTCTATTGACAGTTTTGGACCTGACAATTCTTTGTTGTGTGTTCATTATATTTAGCAGCATCCCTGACCTCTACCTATTAGATGCTAGCAGCATTATTCCTATTTGTTATAACCAAAAATTCCTCAGGCATTGCCAAATGTCTCCTGGTTGGGAACAAAATCATTTCTGGTTGAGAATGACTAAGCTAGAGAGAAAAGGGAAGGAACATTAAAAGAAGAGATTTAGGATATCAGTAAATTTGCTAAGGATTAAACATAAGTCCCACAGGCAAAGTAGAAAAGTTGGGATAAATTTATAAATAAAACTCTGCACCTCTACTTTGTCAGTGTCCCACCAGGGAGTTTAAAGATACTGTGAATGGTCTCTGATTTCTGCAAGTACGTTCCTTGATACCACCATTGGTAGCTGGACTGATGTTCTCATGTGACAAATGGACAGGGCTGGCTGTTCTTGCAACTGTTCATAAGATTTAAATTTCAGCATCAAGGTAGACCCAACTGACCGGGCTAAAACACTATGGCACAACGAGTTTGAAATATCTAAGGATGTAATCACAAGAAGTTCTGAAAACTGGAAAAGGTACCATAAATTGAAATTAAATTTAATCTGATAATCCTGTAAAAATAATGTTAGCTGTTTGAAATATTTTTTTGAGTAGTCAAAACATTCACATGTTCAAATTTCAGATGATATAGAAGGATTTATAGAGACTTCCTCCTCCTAAACTCTTCCCCATGAAATAAATAATATCATGCTTTTACAGCCTTCCAGAGATAAGGAATCCTGGTGTGGTGCTGTAGGATAATGCTCTGGACTGCAAGGTCTATTTGAACTGCAAGTTCAAACTCACCAGCCACTCCTTACAAATCCTATATAGGGTCACTATGAGTCAGAACTGACTCCATGGCACTTAACAGCAATAAGAAATATTCAGAAGTCCTGGCATGGCTCTGTAGGATAATCACTAAACTGCTAACTGAAAAAGTCAGTGGTTCAAACCCATCAGTTGATCTTCAGAAACCCTATATGGGTAGATTATGAGTCAGAACTGATTCAGTGGCACTTGACAATAACAGCAGAGATATTCTAAGTGTTTATAAACTAGTATTAAGGAGCTCTGGTAGCGTAGTGGTTATGAATAGGGCTGCTAACCTTAAGGTCAGTAGTTGAAAACTACCAGCCATTCTGTGGGAGAAAGATGAGGTTTTCTACTCCCATAAAGATTTACAGCCTTGGAAACTCTGTACAGTGTTGCTATGAGTCAGAAACAACTTCACAGCACACAGCCACCACCACCATAAGCTAATATTATTACATAATTGGGGTTTTTCCCCAACTTTTTATTGTGAATTGAGTGAAGATTTACAAAACAGATCATCAGTTTTACATTCAACAAATCATATACTTTGCTTTATTACAAGGTTACAATCCCTTTGCTTTATTACAAGGTTTCAGAACATGTACCAACAGTTAACAGTATTTATCTCTATTTACTTTAATTATTGTATTCCTCCATGTGTCCCCACTACCTTCATCTTTCTTCTGCTAACCTCCCTTTTGTTGTGTATTGCCTGCCCTGTCACCCATGTTACATGTGTCTGCCCTCTAGCCCGTGAATAATTTTCCCTCCACTGTCTTCCCACCACTATCAAAGGTTGTTTCTTTTATCAAGAGAACTTTTTTTTTTTTTTTAACTTTTTACAATATTGGTCTCATACAATATTTGTCCTTTTGTGATTGACTAATTTCACTCAGCATGATGTCCTTCAGGTTCAACCATGTTGTGAGGTGTTTCACAGATGCATCATTATTCTTCAATATTTTGTAATATTCCATTGTGTGTACAGACCAATGTTTGTTCAACCATTCTTCTGTTGGTGAAATACTTTCTTGCTCAGGCCTCTGTCAAATCATTAATATAAACTATTTGTATTTGCTTTACTTTAAGGAATCTTAGTGCTCCATGGGTTAAGATTTGGACTGCTAATTGCCAGGCCAGCTGTTCAAACCCACTAGCCATCCTGCAGGACAAAGATGAGATTGTCTGCTTGAGTAAAGGAATAATTCTATTCTATCCTATATGGTCACTATGAATTGGAATTGACTCGACTGTGGTGGATTTTTACTTACTTTTATGAAAGAATTTGTGAGATGTCAAATAATTTAGATCTTAGGTACAAAACAAGTTTTTTGTGATAGGATGTTAATCTTGGGTCTGCTTGAGCTCTGCATCTGCAGTGCCGCAAGTCATCAGACAACCCCAAATTGAGGGCTATTTTACATAATAGCCAGTCAGTCTTCTTCAAGTACTCTTCAAATGCTTCAAAGCCATTGTCTTAGTTGTCTGGTGCTGCTATTACAGAAACACCATGAATGGGTGATGTAAACAAGCACATTTGTTCTCTCACAGTCTAGCCAGCTAGAAACCCAGGTTCAGAGTGCTCTGGAGAAGAGTTGTTGACTCCTTTCAGCATCTGTAGACCCAGCATTCCTTGAAGATCCCCATGTGTCTTGACATCAATCTTTACCTGGATCTAGGCGCTTCACAGCACAGGGACCCCAAGTCAAAAGGATGGACTTCAGTCCTAGATATTCTTTGCCACTGATCTCTGCTATTTCTCTTGCCTTTTATCTCTTATAAGTAAAAGCTGTTGCAGGCCATACCCTTGAGAAAGTCCCTTACATCAGGTCAGGGTTGTGATGGGATTAAAGGTATTACAGCCCACCATTAGTCCTTTTATTGGTTGACCACGTCAGACCACGATAAGGGGAATAAATCACATATCTGCCACATTACACAATTACATAAATGCCAAGTCACTGAAAATGGAACAGCCAAGTTGACACATATTTTGGGGTACACAATTCAATCCATAATAGTCATGAAAGACACAAGACTGAGGAACTATCTACATGAAATGGAAACATGACAATTAAATGCAATATATAATCCTGAACTGAATCCTAGTCCAGAAAAATTATGTAAGTGGAAGAATTGATGACATTTGAATAAGGTCTGCAAATGAGTTCATTTGTTAGATGCCAGCAATTCAGTTACAACTCATAACTGACTAATCCTGTACCATCCTCACAATTGCTATGATTGAGCCTATTTATTCCTGCTGCCCCTGTGCCAATCCATCTCATTGGGGTCTTCCTTTTTTTTTTTTGCAAACCCTCCACTTTACCAACCATAATGTCCTCCTCCAGGGACTAATACCTCCTGATAAAATGTCCAAGGCATGAGAGGCAAATTCTCACTATGCTTGTTTCTAAGGAGTACTCTGGCTGTACTTCCAACACAGACCTGTTTGTTCTTTGGGCCCACCATAGTAACTTCAATACTCTTCTCCAACACCATAACTCAAATGCATCAATTCTTTATTGTCCAACTTTCACATGCATATGAGGCTATTGAAGAGACCATGGCTTGGGTCAGGCACTTTAGTCCTCAAACTGACATCTTTGCTCTTGAACACACTTTAATGAGAGGTCTTGTGCAACAGATTTGCCTAATGCAATATGATGTTTGATTTTTGGCTGTTGTTTGCATGAGTGTTGATTGTGGATCCAAGCAAAGTTAAGTCTTTGACAACTTCCATCTTTTTTCTATTTATCATGATGTTATTTATTGGTCCAGTAGTGAGGGTTTTTT